ACTGGCTAGGGCTGATCTTCTTAAACTTCTTACTTTCACCCAGCATTATGGGTTTGTTTGTTTTGTTTCTTAAATTCTCACCCAAGGAGTGAGGATAGTTTTTCCATTGATTTTTTTAGAGTGGAAGGGAGCGGGGAAGGGGGGAGAGGAGAGGAACTTGATGAAATTACCACGTGTGGGACACACTGTGTCCAAGATCCCTAAGGCTGGCCCTTGTGGGACCTCCTGGGTAGAGGCTGCAGGACCAACAGTTCCTCCTTTTGTTGTTGTTAATCCTCACCCAAGGATATTTTTCCCATTGATGTTTTCGAGAGAGTGGAAGAGGGGCCGGAGTAGGGGAGAGAGAGGGAGAAGGGAGAGAAACATCATGGGAGAGACACGCATCATTGGCTGCCTCTCACTCGAGTCCCGAGCAGGACCAGGGATGGAACCTGCAGCCGAGGCACATGCCCTTGACCAGGAATCCAACCTGCGACCCTTCAGGCCACGGGCAACGCTCTAACCACTGAGCAAACCGGCCAGGGCCGCATTGTGTTTTTATGATCTACCCATGATGCTTTGCACACACCTAGTCAGCTGCATCTTCGGGCTGGTCTCCGTGACGGACAGTTACTACCCATCCTCCCTGGGAGGGGGACGTTCCGTTGCCCTTGACTCCCCTTCACTGTGAGGGACGCCGGTGTGTCTTCGCGTCCTTTGCCCGTTTTCCTCTTGCGTCGCTGGTTTCTTCGTGTCGATCTGCCAGTTCCACGTGCAGCCCGTTCCACTCGGCTGCTCTGAAAACTCGGAATCTACTGCAGTGGATACACTGGGGATCGACTTGAGGGTAAAGCAGATTCCCCCTCTGCTTACGTGAGGCTTCACCCACGAGGAAGGCTGAGTGAACCCAGAAACTTGCCCTCAGTTGACATGAGCATAGGCTGACCAAGCACACACACAGGTGCACCCGCACCCCGAATGTCAGCCGGGCGCCCCAGGGCCCCAGTGTGCAGTGCGGGAGCCGGTCCATCCTTGCTGCTTGGCACAGTCGCTGCAGAAAAGAAACATCTGCACAGCATATGTTTCAAGGGACCTGGCGTATATAGCATACTGTTCTTAATATGTTTGCTCCCCTTAGCGCTATGTGTTTTAACCAAGGTCACCTCTCCGAGAAAGGTTGTTTCCCCAGGTAGGGATTTTTCCCTGAAGTTAGGAAAGGTAGAGAACCTCTCCCTTTAAAATCAATAAAAACGTATTTAAAAATAAATAGAACTTTCCATCCGATTTCAGGTTACTCCTCCCACACCTCCTAAGGCGCACCCCTGCCAGCAGGACACCCACTTCTGTGAGCAAACTCCAGGTCTTTTCCAAGGTAAAGCGACTTCTCTCTTTTGGAACGTGCAGGAATTCCTTAAGCATTTAACGTGTGGGAAACTGTCCGCCCCTGCCCCACGCCAGCTCAGCCCCGAGGGCCGTGAAGGCCCGTCCTCCCTGTCCCTGCGTCCTCCCTGTCCCTGCGCGGCTCCCTCTGGCCCCCCAGCTCTCCAGCTGCCCCTCCCTCCCTCCCCAGGATGACGCGGCACGGCAAGAACTGCACGGCGGGGGCCGTCTACACCTACCATGAGAAGAAGAAGGACACAGGTACTGGGTGGGAGGGACAGATGCGTCTCGAAGCCACCGTCTCGCTTGGCACCTCTGACTGTGCTTTCTGCGCGTGTCTCTCTGCCCCTGGTGGCCATGGCCACATGTGACAGCCCTGTTTCCCCCCCCACCCCACGTGATGGGCACCGCCTCAGGTCACTCTGTAGGTGAACACGGCTGATCCTCCCGTGGAAGGGTCGCTGTTGCCATAGCGATATTCCCACAGAAGAAACGGAGGCCCAGGCGGTCAGAGCCAGGGGGCTTCCGGAGCCTGTCACCTACCCACTGGGTTAGCACCTTCCTGAGGGCAGTGCGGTCCTTGCCCCCGGCGCAGACACACACAGCCCACTTTTTTTTTTTTTAATCCTCACCCGAGGATATTTTTCCATTGATTTTTTAGGGAGAGTGGAAGGGAGAGGGAAAGACAGAGAAACATCAACGTGAGAGAAGCACATCGATTGGTTGCCTCCTACACGAGCCCCTACAGGCCCTTGACCCAGAATCGAACCCGGGACCCTTCGGTCTGCAGGCCAAGGCTCTATCCACGGAGCCAAGCCGGCCAGGGCCACAGCCCACTCTTGACTGCCTGTTTCTCTAAGTCTCCTCACCTCTGAGTTCTCAGTGCCTCTCTCAGTTTGAAGAGAGGCATGTCTCCCCTCTATCCATCCCTTTTCTCTTTTTAAACATTTTTAAATATATTTTTATTGATTTCAGAGAGAAACGGAGAGTCAGAGAGAGAGAGAAACATCAGTGATGAGACAGAATCATTGATCGGCTGCCTCCTGCAGGCACCACACTGGGGATCGAGCCCACAACCCGGGCACGTGCCCTGACTGGGAATTGAACTGTGACCTCCTGGTTCATAGGTCGACGCTCAACCACTGAGCCACACTGGCTGGGCTCTCCATCCTCTTTCTTGTCTGTCCCCAGCGGCTTCAGGCTATGGGACCCAGAACATTCGACTGAGCCGGGATGCCGTCAAGGACTTCGACTGCTGCTGCCTCTCTCTGCAGCCCTGCCATGACCCCGTCGTCACGTGAGCTGGGCACACGGGTGGTGAGGGCAGGGGAACACGGGAGGGGTCTGTAGGAGTGGGTCTAGCCAGCACCTCTCTGGTTCGGTGTCCTCGTCTGAGAGGGGGCATGATCCTGAGGGGGTCATGGTGGGGCATGGAAAGAATATGTTTGTAACAGAGGGGCAGGCTCTTGGGACGTCCCCTGGCCTGTGGAACATGTCCCGTTACCTGCCTCCGATGACCCAGCAAAGGCTCCCGCGAGGTCATATGTGTCGGCCCTTGGCCCAGTGCCTGGATGTGGGCTTGGTCCCAGGTCTGTTACAGAGATGGTGATGGGCGTGGACTGTGGCCCCGGGTCCCTGTGGCCACCTTCAGTTCCCTGAGCCCCTGGAAGGCCTCACAGAATTCAGTGCCAGTTGATTAGAGGGAAAGGATACAGATTAAAATCAACAGAGGGAATGCCCTAGCCCAGTGGTCGGCAAACTCATTAGCCAACAGAGCCAAATAGCAACAGTACGATTGAAATTCCTTTTGAGAGCCAAGTTTTTTAAACTTAAACTATAGAGGTAGGTACATTGTTATTAACTTAATTCAGGGTGCTCCTAAGCTGGCCTTTGCTAAAAACGTCCTCAGTCTGATTGCGGTACCTTCGCTGAGGTCGACCCCTTCCAACTCTCCCATGCCGACGGCTACCTGTATGAGCGCGAGGCGATCCTGGAGTACATCTTGCACCAGAAGAAGGAGATCGCCCGGCAGCTGAAGGTGAGCGGAGGAGGAGGGGGCACGGGTGTGTTGGGGTTTCGA